ACGAAATTTCAATTGAAAAAGAGTTTTGTGAACTCAATGAAAAAGATATAAAAAATTATTTGTCTTCAGAGGAAATTTATCGCTTTGGTGATAAGATAGTTTGGGATGCTTTGAATCAATGGATTGCCGCAAACTCAAGTACTCGAGAAAATCTATTTCCAAATCTTTTCGATTCGCTTATTTTGGACAAATTTTCGAACGACTTTATGCGGAATGTCATCTGTAAAGATAAAAGAACTAAAGAACGTGTCCAGTGTACAACTAAACTGGTGGGGTTATTGTTTGACAAAGTAGACGCGAAAGAAATCAAAATACAGAATCAATCTCAGGAATTGGAACATTTAAAAGAAGCATTGAATGAACAAAATGCCGAAATAAAAAAGCATTCTCGTAATTTTAGGAATTTAAAGCAAAAATCTGGCTATAAATGGGTGGAAGCATCATCTAGCGATAAAGAGACAGAAGATAACAATACTATAAGTGATTTCTCCTCGGAGTTTCGTCCTCATCCTTCTCGATATCGTAGGAAAACCCGTAGTAACGTAACAAGTATTTCTACCGCGGATGAGAAGTTAGTCGGGACTAAAGTTAAACCTGGCTTTTTTGGAACCCCGCGAACTAGTTATAACGCGTACAGGTCGGGATCAGATGCAGATTAGAGCGAGTCTTTAAATTGGAGAATAATTACCGTAAAGTACAATTCACAACGCGACGCCGGCAGCATTTGGCCTGAAACAGATGCCTCATATATATAACTATAAAGTTGCTGATAATGATACTCGTCGTGCTTGATATCTGATATTTCGTGTTTTTATGTGTTTCTCTGTTTCGTTGCATCGACAGTTTGAAGTATATTACAACAGAAACTCCTAGTATGTGATCCTATACGACATTTTATGAAGCCAAAATGGAATAAACAAAAATATTTTCTCTGATGTATTTTCATTGTTTCAGTTATTACTATATTTTATTTTTACATTGCTTGCGACTAAAACACCGCAACAGTTTGCTACTCCCTTTTGCCTGTCTGCATGCTGGTTGCTTACTGGAATTCATGAAGTTTGTAAATTGTATTAGGATGTGTTTTAATGGCGCCTTTTAACCGCAAAGTAAACTCTAATATATCTGTCTAATGGTACTTTGGAGAGATGTGACATCATCCAGATAGGTCATCACTCGATACCACCGTTCTATTGCGGATAATACTTATGTATGAACAAGGCTTTATGTCAGGGGTATCCTACCTCGGGTGCATGAATCCCTAGGGGGTGCGTCAGTGCATCCCAGGGCGTTCACGAGACGCTCTCGGAAATCAAAACTAGAAATGTTTAAAATCAGTTTAGGCCAATATAATCTGCATAGAAGATGAATTTCAAATAAGAAGACTTGATTTTTATTTAATTATTGACATGATTCACGAGCCGTAATGTGTAAGACAATCCGTCTCACCGTGTTTGATCTATCAATGATAGATGATCGATGCATGATGAAATTCGTGATTTTGAGATGTCCGTGCTATCCGGGTGATTGTCTGTTCATTTTATTTTTTCATTGCATTATTACATTATGCTACCATGAAACACTGGTATGCGTTTTATTGTATAATTTTGGCTCAGATCCTGTCTTGAAAACTTGGAGGTTCGTGGAGGCCCCTGAAATTCGCAGGGGGTTCGTGGCGGTATAAAGTTAGGGAACCACTTCTTTATGCAATGAGGCACTAAAATACGGCGTAGCCAGACATTACGCACACCGCGGAAATACAATTGTTTGACGTTTCTATGAGTTTGCTCTCATTCAAATATAGGTTCGACATTGCCTACCGTTTTTTTTGGCGGGGGCTTTGTATAAAAAATCCAATCAATCACAGAATAAGCAGAAATGATGAAGTATAGGAAGAATTTTCAGGGAGTCAAAGTTCGCCGAAAAATTCATTCTAGCATACGTTAATGAAAGCAGAACGCAGCTATGAATAATTTTGGCATGGCGAAGAGTGATTCTTCAACGCTGCCTGCAATTGAATGATAAATTTTGAAAAACTGACGCATAGTGATTTCCGCAAATACGTTAGGTATTTCTAGAACAGGCCGGTTTGAACCAGTTTGGGCCAATACACAATGTCCTAAAACGGCCTTCCTTCCACAAAATCAATATTTTGACATTGCGGTGGTTGCTTTGCTTAATATTGTTGTTTACGATTCAAGTTAATTTACATAGATTCAAAAATTCAGTCATCGCGCGTGTAACAAAAATAGATATTGAAATAAGAGTCATAGGGGACAAAAACATCCCGATTAACCACAATATCAGCTGCAGTAATCACAGTGTAATTTTCTTTGTGGCAAATATTCCGAGGAATTGCAAATACGTCACGCTTTCTATGCCTGTCGTCAAAATTCTTTCTCTTTTTTCTATTTTATGCAATAAACGATAGTGGTTTAAGATTTTTAATTCAGAAATAATTATTTGCAAGCTATTAGCACGTCGGCTATATTTGAAGTGAAAGAAGAGAGTACTAGGGTTATCATTATTTCTATTCATGGTCAGAGAAGGCACCGAGCGATTAGCAAGCAACTAGCGCTAAATCTTTTACAGTAAAATACCTAAAGATATTTTTATAGATTAACACTAAGATCTAAAACTGATGCACACATTGGCGTCATGACAGCTCTTAAATGGACAATATCTTTTATTTGCATCAATTCGATATTAGTTGTTTTGATGGTTACATCAGGGCTAATCAACTATTTTTACCGAAGATCCGCATACAAAACTTCAAAATTATTTGCGTCCGGTGTTTCCAGAAATTATATTTCGGCATCCGTAAACGTGCACTTCTTCGACCAGCTAATGATTATTAGCCAATCAAGATTGTTTATTATGGTTTTATAATTCTTTTCATATCTATTCAAAACAATAAAAGATATTTTATAATATGGAACTTCAAAAGTGGGGCTAATGATCCAAAAGAAAGAATTAGGTGCGGTCCGAATCAAATACTCGAAAGGTCCGGATTCGGACCGCGGTCCGCCAGTTGAGTAGCCCTGGTCTACATCACTATCAACCAAATTTATATATTAATAAGGAAAGGCTTATACAAAAGAAAGATCCGATTCTTGAGAGACGTTTTAAAAGCGGCGTCGTACCTACCAGTCATTATGAATGTCACTCTCATTCTTGCAGGATTGTTTGGCATAGCAGCGATCATGTGACGTATCGGACATGGTATCGTACTGTTAGAATGGCTAATAGTAACGATGAAAACATATTTAACGATACCGAAATAGTTTGCAAATATGAGAGAAGGTTATATCATACACTCCATCCTACATACGACACACCTAGGTACGAGCTCGTTCGTTTTATACATTTGCTTTACAACATCTATCTACATGGTATTGTGATTTCGTCAAACAATGTTCAGCACGGAGGAAACTCTGAAGAAACTATCGTGCAAATGTTTAAAAATATTTGGTTATTTTCAGGGATTGTTTATAATAATATCTGTTATTGTCGTCGGAATAATTTAGATATTAGACTTGAAATATTTTTACTACATTCTAACACTGTTCTTAGGGATCTAACTGGAAATACAGATTGGATTGCTGACTCTTTTTATGATTCCTTCAATTAAGTACCAACGTAGCTTGAAGTATTTGCATCAGAATCAAAGACCTCTTGATCATCTTGTAAGATTAATGAAGCGATCTATTGCAGCAGCAAAATGATAACATACGTGAAGATGCAGTGTAAATCATAATATCAGCCCTGTTAGGGTTCAGGTTATGCGACATCTTGGGACGCATACTTCAGAAGTACCGCCGTTTGGATGTTTCCCCTGGCATAGACGCCTTTGCTTACTTCATGACATTGGCCAATCAGCAAGATGCAAAAATAAACGTAACAATGCCCCCAATTCGCATCCACTCAGACACATTCCTCACTCAGACAGACTTTCAGGTGTGGTCGTGAACACTGGACATTACCTCATTTTCGCGACTTAGAATTATATTCGTTAGTTTTTAGCTGTTTTTCGGAAATTTAAATGAAAATAAGTCAATGATCCCCTTGTCCTCCATGGATTTTCAGTTTAATTACAGTACCAAAAATTACTAGGCTAAAATTCTTTACCGGTACTTTTAAAAAACAGATCGTTGAATGGTATGAATTAGAATGATAGAATGAAACAAATACTTCATTTTATAGGCAACAACTAGCGAAACCACTGTTAAAATAGGCACCGAAAATTTCAGAATGGTAAATGAGAAAATTTTTCCGGGGTCAAAGGTCGGGGAAAGGTCCATTTAGTGGAGCGTCCCGGGTCAGATTATAACAGATTTCACGATCACTGGGATACGCAAACTACCGTACCTTACTGCGAAGACGAGTTCAGCAATCCTTTTGCGTGTGACATCGCCCACGTGATTCAAACCTACGAAAGCACGCAGAGTACAGTAATCAAGTGCACGATGCGCCAAGCAAAAAAAAGATTTCGCGAAATCGCTCCCCTATCGCCCCCTTCGAATTTTTCGCCCCCCTCTGTATTGTTTTCGCCCACCGGGGGCCGATATCGCCCACTTTGGGAATCACTGTATAAATCACTGAATCAACTCATTTTCCCCACGAGTCATTTTGCAATATATATTGTAGGTAGACTTTTTTCCGTATTCAGACTAATGACCCAAAACAATACTCTCTGTCGACCGATCTTGCTAATTTTCTTTAAAATTTTGAGAAACTGGGCAATATAGTTTTAAGCCTTTAAAAAAGAATGGCTTTGCCAGCATCACAACTAATCAAAATTGAATGTGATGTCATAATGTCAACTTGAATGACATGCACTCAATGTTATTGAACAAATGTACGCTCAAGAGATGTTTCGAATGTTGCAAAGAATGGATCGTATGATTTGTAAGTGCATACGCCTTTAGCAACATGTCCAAAAATAACCATAGCTCATCGCAGATATACAAACTCACACGTTTAAACAACTCACAATATCGTGTGTAGCTTTGCACAGATGTAAGTTTTATTGGACCTGTAAATGAATGTTACACATTAGATTCCTGCACATCTCATCAAAGTCATATCGTCACAGATGTCGTACGCTTGAATGTACTTTTTATCATAGCGCTTTTAGGTTGTTCTGCTTACGGACACAAAATATTTTTGGTTATCATGACTTGAGGTTTAAGCAATTTTTTCAGAAGCGAGCACCCAAGTTCAGTTTGACTCGAAGGTTTGGTTTGTAACAAACCCTTCAATTTAGTTTAGAACAGGCGTAATCTTATTTTGAAATTTGCTGTTGACAGCCAAAACAAATTTTTAATCTAATATACTTCATAACACTCAATAACTTTTATGCTCACGAGAGTACATTTAGGCTTCGTTCGCATGTGCCCTTGTCGGGTTAAAAGCGCGTTGAAAAAAAAGTTTGCCATCTGTGGGCTTTGAAAAAATAGAGCGCTTTTCCTTGTATTTGATTGAATATATTCGTATTTAACGAATATAGTTGCGAGCACAAAGTGTGATTCGTCCGAATCATCTTTTTAAAATTGTATTAGTGGTCCGAAATCTATTCAATTGAGGTTTGTAATATCCGTCAATTTCAATTATTATGAATTGCGTAGGAATTATTTAAAATTTTACACTTATTTTCGTTGCACAACCCAATAAACATTAAAAGTCTTATTTTCAATAATTTCATAATAATTGGAAGCCGAATTGTTCAAAGGCCATAGAAAAAAGAAAAGGTTTTAGCTTTAATAATAGAAGAAGATTGTCCCAGGAAAACAAAATCAGTAAATAATGTAAAATAAAACAACATGATAAATTGATAACGTCCATTTCTGACTATTTTGCGGTAATTTCTCGTTTCTGTTTTATTGCAATCAGCAATAACGCGCGATCTTTAAATTACAGCACAGTTCATTGTCATCCGTTTGTCACCTTTCGTTAATACTATTAATTGTCAGTTTGTTTCATTTTCACCTTGGAATACAATATATAGTATTCGGTAAATAGTTCATTTTGTCAGTCCTTAGTTTCGTTCAATAATCATCGTTTGTCCGTTCCTTGTCCGTCAGTATAATTGTCGTTCGGTCACATGCGCATTGATTCATTGGGGTTGCATCCTTTTTATCGTTTTCGTCAATTGGCAGAGGCAGCAGCTGTGAGAAAAATGAACGATTAATGTTAGCTAAAGGCCCCTACGACTAAATTAGGAATAATCGTGATTTTACTTGACTTGCCGGACAGTCACCAATATAGCCAAGAAAGTATATTTCAGGCTAATTTGTTTGTTGAAGGATGTTTCCTCTGTCACCAGACGCCGACGAATATCAACTATAACGCGTGCACCGATTCCAGTCTGTCAGATACACTTAAACAAGGCAATGTCTTTATTATCGGCATACGATTACAGTACAATAGAATGATCCAACCGAATCCAAAAGGATAAAAAAAATCAATAATATTGAGTAATTTATATACTAATAACCAATAGATGAAAACGTACTAATCAAGTATGAAACATAAATAAATTATATTAAAACTGATTATGTCCAGTGGAAAACAAGTTGAGGAGTATCATAATTCTGAAAAGTCTCATCAAACTGGTTTTACTAAATTTGATATTATTAATAATAAAAAAACAGTGAAATCTTACTAAAATAACAACATTATCCCAATACACACAGTAAGTCTCTGAATATGAGTATTCTCACGTATCGCAAGTGCGTCACGATAAACGTGACTGTCGCGAAATAATTTGATAGTTAGTTCTGTTTATTGTAGTGAGCAATTGTGATTTTCCCGGAAGTGAATGCTAAAATTCGAAAGCCCGAGGTTTCCATGTTATATATCAAAACTGTTTGCGAGCCAGAGCGTTGATATATGTACGTTAGTCACAGAATAGTTTATTAGCTAATCGACTAGCGTCATTTCCTTAGACTTGGGAAGTCGTTTGGAATTATTTCATAAATAACTTTTTCACTTTCAGGTGGAGGCATACCGCTTCGAAAAGAATTTCAAAAATAAATTACCCGATGTTAAAAAAATTGGGAAAGTTACAAAAACTAACAGTGTCAACTTCGTCTAATTTGCATTGCCAGGAACACTGGACTTCTGATCAACCACAAAATCAGCTGCAGTGTTAACACAAAAATTTTCTTTATGGAAAATATTCCGAGGAATAACAAATACGTCATGCAGCCTCGGTCAGACAAACGTTACAGAAATACATCTGTGTACTTCTGCTACAGCATTTTTACATTGAACGCCTACGGATCCACTTGTACAAAGGCATGGAGCTAGAAAAGTTAGGAAGTCCCGCGTAACCCCAACTGGAAGTTGCTTTCGGTGGCTGCAGAAACATGGCAAAATAGTATTGAAAAAGACGTGAGAGTCTGTGACTCATTGCAGAATCACTTTTTAAAAACAAGTTCGTTTAAGTTGGGGATAAGCGTGGTTCTGGGTGTGATAAATAAAGTAGGTCAGGAGCTTGACTTCGAGTCCGAAAATCACAATTTTATATTTACATTCAGGGCCGGCCTTGGCCTACCGCAACATATGCTACTTCAGTGGGCCCTGCACTACCATGTTCTCCGCGCTAATTTTAGGAATAGATCAATGAATTTATCCGACTCAAATTATAACCTTGTATATTTTGGATAAAAAATGTACTGAATAACTTCGCCACGCTCGGAGTTTCCTCAATATTAATTTTTATTTGGATAAAATGTAAAGACGAATTAATTTACATTATTAAATCTTAATTTTCATCCTTATTTTCATCTATAATCGAAGTAGGCATCGCGCAATTCATTTCGAAATGGGCGCTTCAATAGCAACGATAGACCTGTATAATGAGTAATAATATTTCTATTTTTATAAATATATAATCACTAAGATCTTGAACTACTGAACACGTGGACATCATGACAGCTTCTATTTATGGGTTTTACATCGATTCGATATTTGTTGTTTTGATGGTTTACATCACTATTCACCAAATTTATATGTTCACAAGAAAAGGCTTATACAAAAGAGAGATACGAAGCTTGAGTGACGTTTTGAAGGCGTCGAATCTACCAGTCATTATGAATGTCACGCACATTCTTTCAGCATTGTTTGGTATAGCAACGATCATGTGTGCTATTGATCGTTGAGTTAGAAATTCACTGCAATGATGTATGCATATTTAACAATAACGAAAGAATATCTAAATATGATATATGTGAGAGATGTATGTTCTCATACAATCTCCTTAAACCTCAATAATAGCGTGTTCGTGTTATACATTTGCTTTACAACATCTATCTACATTCTACATGGTATTGTGGTTTCGTCAAACGATGTTCATCATTGAGAAAACTTTGAAGAAACTGTCGCCCGAATGTTTAAAAAAAGTTGGTTATTTTCAGGGACTTTTTATAATAATATCTGCTATTGTCGTCGGAATAATTTGGGTATTATTAAACTTGCTATATTTGGACTACATTCTGAAGTTGTTCTTAGGGATTCAACTTGAAATACAGATTGGATTGCTGACTCTTTTTCTGATTTCTTTAATTAGGAACCAACGTAGCGTGAAGTATTCGCATCAGAATCAAAGACCTCCTAATCATCTTGTAAGATTAATGATCTATCGCAGCGGCCATTGTTGTTGCTATTACAGAGATAGAAACACTAGGAATTGCTTTCGGTTTAGAAATGCATATTTTGTATGTGAATATTATGATAAATATGTGTTGTGTTTTATTCTGTTTTGCCGATTGGAAATTTTTTTCCCCTTGTATTGTGTTATGTAAAAGGGATAGCGAGGAAGCTGAAACAGTTCCACCAGATGGTAACATACGTGAAGAAACAGTGTAAATCATAATATTATAACCGTTTTTTGTTTTTTTTGGTGAACATTAATCGTAAACATTTTCTATTCATTTTACTTGGAGTTGCTTTTTTAAGATCATCTCGATGTAATTATTGAACTATTTTGAGATCAAATAAAACATTTTGCAAACAAAGTTGTGAGTAGGATGAGGTTTACGGGTCGGCTTCGTCCAGGGTTCAGTTAGAAATCGACGAGCGAACAACTTGGTTATAACACCATAATAAGCATCATATTGTAGGACAGATACTTATACGATGTCTGAGATGTCATATTTAAAGTAAAGTTATTTTTCTTTTCTTTATGCAAATCACATTCAAAATAACGAAAAATAAAAAGGTATACACGCGATTTTAATATGGATGGAAACCTTACGAACAACCTGGTTATCGAGCTAATCAGATTACGATGAGAAACTAATAAGCATTATCTTCCGATCAAAGGGTGCCCCAAAAATTTCGTATACTCGTATGAATTTAAATTCGAGTGAATACTCTAGGCTGCATTTAGACGATGAGAATCCTTGCAGACTACGCTATTGGTTAAGACCTTCTTTGACAATAACCAGTTCTATTATGACGTCATAATGTGTGCTGAAATATATTATGACGTCATAAATATTCAAAATTGAGTGAAATGCATAGGAGATTGGATGGGAAGTTGAAATTAAAAACAATATAAGAACTCAAAGCTGTGACTTAACGTCATGGCGAACTTCAGTCATTATTATTTTAAAACCGTAGTATCGATTTGATTCACACAATCCTAAGTTCTATTGAATATATAACAAATATAAGTAGTTTTAAATACATTCTCACTATTTGTCGTATTATTAGAAAATGACGTCATCGAAATCCTTAGTCTTGCTAACGTAGTAGATGCCAAATATTGATGGATATTTTGTTCCATATGGGCGAGTAAGCGAAAAGATCAAAAAATATTCCACGTTTGCAATGTATTTAAAAGTTTTCCCGTCGCCAACTTGACAACTCAATAATTTTGTTTGAAACAACGAGCATATTGTATCATGCTTGAGTTGTAAAATGACTTCAAAACTTTTAGAAGAACTTTAAATTAGGCGTTGTGTATCTTTCAAATGTTTCCTGTTCCATTACTTTAACAGAGGATTTAGGATTTACATATTTATCACGGGGGAGAGGAAAGCCAAAAGATGAATTAATCATATGGCAAACCACGACCTCTCGTCCGGTTACCACTCCAGGTCGAGTATGGGATAAGTTAGCTAGTTATTTGTTTTCTGAGGCATGGACTTGACGGTGGAGGAAGCCGACTACGTGAATCACCTACGGCGCCGAGGAGTCCAGCAATCCTCTCCCACATAATTAACTCCGCCGGTTGATACTTCTGTGTGGTTGATTATATTTGCCCAAAACTTTTGAGAAAGTGGGGGCAAGTGAGCCCCCAACGCCATCGCTCTAGTAGAAAACGAAAGATCCCGGATTGGTACGGAGATAGAATTTCGTAGTTCTGTTCAAATTACAGATGCAGCTGTTTTCTATTTGTAATCGTTTGCGTATTTTATTTCCATATGGTTATTGGGAAACATTCTAATATTAACTGGCGATTTATACCTTATGTTCATCCCTTCGCACCGGAACCTGGGACGCGGATGTGCCATAAACTGACTATTGTACATATCGTCGTCGTGCCGTACCTCTTTGTCTTGTGTATTGTACTAGAGTTTTATATGTAGCTTATATTTTCGCTATTTCATGTCTGTTGCATGACTATAACGCAGCAGTCCTAAACTTCATCTATATTTGTTAGAGGTGTATGTCGCACATGTGTGACCTAGGTCGGTACGTTCTTGAACATGTATCCTGTCTCTGTTATACTGTTTGATTATTATGCAGATACCGTTACATTTTTGAGGCATGCATATAGTAAGTTTCTGAATATGAGTATTCTCACGTATTGCAAGTGCGTCACGCGTGACTGTCGCAATAGACTTTTGATCGGATTTCCCGGAACTGAATTCTAACGCCCGAAATTTCGTGATCTATATCATAACTGTTTGCGAGCCAGAATGTTGATATATGTACGCTGGTTGCAGAATAGTTTATTAGACCATCGAATAGTCACCGTTACTCCTGCTACACCATCCTTGCATTATACGCATACGGATCCACTTGTACAAAGGCAGAAAGCCAGGAAAGGTAATCTCGCGTATCCCCAACTAGAAGTTGCTTTTGGTGACTATTGTTAAAATTTTGCTTTCTACTTCTATTTTATGTAATGAGCGAGGGACGATAGCATTTTTTAGGGCGACGCTTACTGGCGCCTTTCTCGCCCAACAAGACCAGGTACAGGCTCCACTGATATCTTACAGTGTTACTTCGTTGGTAAAGTTATCCAATAAGCGCAATTTTATTTATCTCGGTTAGTTCGTTTGGAGTAAGGATTGACAGCCCAGTTCAAAAACGTCGGTTTATCATTGAATCGCAGAAACATAGTATTGAAAAAAAAACGTGAGAGTCTGTGCCTCACTGCAAATTCAACAAGTTCGTTTGGGTTGGGTAAGAGGGATGAGCATGGTTCTGGGTATGATAAATCAAATGGGTCATAAGCTTGACTTTGAGAACGAAAATCACTATTTTATGTCTACACCCAGGGCCGGCCTTGGCCCACCGCAACGTATGCGACCTCAGTGGGCCTCACACTACCACGAGCTCCGCGCTGATTTCGGGAATAGATCAATGAATTTGCCCGACATAAATTATAACGTTGTTCCATTTGGATGATATACATACTGATTAACTTCGCCACGCGCTCGGAGTTCAAGGTAATTTACATTATCAAATCTTACTTTTAATCATTATTTTCATCTCTTATCACGGGCGCCACAAAAGGTAACGCCGCAATCGTATTATGGGTAATGAATCAGAGTAGGCACCGCGCAATTCATTTCGGATAGGACATCGCAATAACTAAGGTCACCCCTGTATAATGAGTAATATTATTTTTATAGATTTTATCACTAAGGTCTAAAACTCCTGAACACACTGACATCATGACAGTTTCTATTTATGGATACCACATCGATTTGATATTTGTTGTTTTGATGGTCAACATAACTATTCACCAAATTTTTATATTCATAAAGAAAGGCTTATACAAAAGAAAGATCCAAAGCTTGAGAGACATTTTGAAGGCGTCGAATCTACCAGTCATTATGAATGTCACTCTCATTCTTGCAGGATTGTTTGGCATAGCAGCGATAATGTGTGTTATCGGATATGATATCGTTGAGATAGAAAAGATGCACTGTAACTACGTATGTACATTTAACAACACGGAAATAATATCTGAAGATGAGATATGTGAGAGATGTAATCATAAACTCCCTCTAATCTCTTTAAATCTGAGTAATAGCGTATTCGCTTTATACATTTGCTTCACAACTTCTATCTACATGGTATTGTGGTTTCGTCAAACAATGTTCAGCACGGAGAAAACTTTGAAGAAATTATCGCCCAAATGTTTAAAAAAATTTGGTTATTTTCAGGGATTGTTTATAATAATATCTGCTATTGTCGTCGGAATAATTTGGATTTTATTAAACTTGCTATATTTCGACTACATTCTGAAATTGTTCTTGGGGATTCAACTTGAAATACAGATTGGGTTGCTGACTCTTTTTCTGATTCCTTTAATTAAGCACCAACGTAGCTTGAAGTATTTGCATCAGAATCAAAGACCTTCTGATCGTCTTGTAAGATTGATGAAGCGATCTATCGTAGCAGCCATTGTTGCTGCGATTACAGATATAGCAACACTCGGTATTTTGATCCGTTTGGATTTCCATTTTTTGTGTGTAAATATTTTGATCAATATGTGTTGTGTTTTATTCTGTTTCACCGATTGGAAATAGGCTTGCACGTAATTTACAGATTTACGGAATTACGGAATTATTTCGAGTTACGGAAGGGAAATTGCGAATTACGTAAAGTCGTAATTATTGGTCGAGCGCTTTCGCGATTGAAACGAGCTCTCTTCAAAGCAGTCAATTCGGTCGATTGTAAAAAGTGAAAGTTTAAAAAGTAGAAGAAGTTAGAGCTTCGGTATTTGCAGCCATTTTTCTCACTTTTCTCTCTCTTGCCAATACGTAACCGTGATAATTAATGTCGCGCTTATCAAACAGCAATATGACAACGGAAGAGAAATTGCGTAATGAACCAACGCAACTTCGTCTTTTCGGCATCGGTAAAGCGATTGAGACGACAGAGAAACAACAATATGACGGGATTTCCCGCGATCCGGTAAAAATCCTTTGCGGACCGTTGACGGTCCGCGGACCGGCGGTTAGGAACCACTGTTTTAGAATACTTAAATCGAATCCAGAATCCTATTCTAATTTTATAGTTACCCGTATTTAAATAGTGGGATTTCTCCACCACAATGCATGAATAAAATTTAAAAAAAAGCTAAATTGTAGCCTAAATGTTTAATGTATAACTATCTTTGTGCAGTATTTAATTAAAAATGTCCTGATCATTGGATTATATTTAACCAAGGCAACGAGATTTAAGAATTTCGACTTTTTTTTGTTTTTGTTTTTAACAGTTCAATATTCTCAATTTAACTACTATCAAATATCAAGTATGAGCCAGTGTGTTTATTCTGTGCGAGAACCATTTTCAATTACAAAACCTTGATGTTCTGTTACCGGTTTTATCGTTTTATATCAGTCCGGACTTGTCCTTGCTCAATATATTTTCCACAATGCCTCGCAATATTTCGGCCAAATATGATAAACTGTCTTTACCAAATGCGGCAACTTATTTTGATTCTTGAATACCACCGACACTCGACCAAATTTGTGTCAATCTTGGCCGATAGGATCGTTGACTTGAGTTAGAAAAATAAGTTAATTTTTTCGTGAGTGCAAAATAAATGTCACAATAACTTTGTATTTTCGGAAAAGCCATGTCATAAAAGTATGGTATTTAAATTATGCGCAAAAAATTAATATTTAATCTAAATTTGTCGCAAATAATGTTACAATATTTAGGCCGCGAAATGATTTAATGTAAAATGAAGCATGGTAATCGGAATAACGTCAATAAGTCGGCATCAATAATTATTATAAAATGCTGACTAGGTAGTAAAGTCGAATAATGTTAAAAGCGGTGCAATAACAAGTCTTCGTCGCGAGGCAAGCGCAAGTATAATCAAACGAGAGAATACGCTCGTCTAGCATTGATAAATTGGAAACCCGACATTTTTTTTAATACGATTTTAAAAAAGTCAACTATGGTTTCATAAATATCCGTATACCAGTGTCGGTAATGATAAAATTGATCGCATAAAATTGGGACGGTTAATTTGCAAAGGTGATAAAGGAAATCAAAGCTGGCACAAAAGATAAAAATCAGAATAAAATTATTTTGAATTCACTCTTGTCTTAACATCTGTCGCCGGCGTGTAGTACTGCCAGGTATATGAAAACCCAAACTCGATGTCCCAATCGAAAATGAAGTGGATTCAATTGGTTGTTATGATAGGTTTAAATGTGTGAAAAAATATCGCAATTACGGGGTCATTACGTAATCGATTTGGCCGTAATTACGGAATTGATTTTTGTCAATTACGTGCAAGCCTAATTGGAAAACAAAATTTTTTCCTTGTATTGTGTTATGTATAAGGGATAGCGAGGCAGCTGAACCAGTTCCTCCAAATGATAACATACATGAAGAAACAGTTTAAATCATAATATAATCCCTGTTTTTGTTTTGTTTTCATTGATGAACATTTATCTGGAACATTTTCTATTAAATTTATTTAAAGTCACTTTTTTAAGCTCTACTTGCTGTAATTATTGAACTATTTTAAGATCAAATAAAACATTTTGCAAATAAAGTTATGAGTAGGATCAGGGTTTATGGGCCGACTTCGTCCAGGTTTCAGTTTGAAATTGACGATCGAACAACTTGGTTATAATACCATAATAAACATTATATTGTAGAACAGATAATTATACGATGTCTGTGATGTCATAGTCAAACTTTTTGCAAATTGCATTCAAATTTACGAGAAATAAAAAGGTATACACGCGGTTTTAATAGGAATGGAAACCTTACGAACAAGCTAATTAGATAACAATGAGAAATTAAGCATTATGTTCCAATTAAAGGGTGTAGAAATGTCGTATACCAACATGAATTTAAATTAGAATGAATATTTCAGGCCAGGGCCGGATTTAGACGATGACAGACCCTCCCAGACTACGTTCGCTATTTACGAAGCCCTTCTTTAACAATAACGATTTCTATTAAGACGTCATAATATTTTTGTGGTGGTCCGAAAATATATTATGACGTCATCAATATTGTTAAAATTGGTGAAATACGTAATTTTAGTTGCAGCAGGCTGATTCATATGCTAATCGTCCTAATAGACTGAATAGAACGTTGAATTTAAAAACAGTATAAGAATTCAAGGCTGTAACATAACGTCATGACGAACTTCAGTCCTTATTATTTGAAAATCGTAGTATCGATTTGGTTCACACAATCCTGAGTTTTATCGAATATATAACAAATAAAAGTAGTTTAAAATACGGTCAAACTATTTGTCTTATTTTACAATATTTGCCGGTATGTGGATTTCCGCTCGATTTTACGACCTCATTCCAGATATTTCGGAGAGATATTTGATTCGGAGATGTCGGACTCTAAGGAAGGTTCTGTGAAATGACCGATGTTTCAGAAGACAGCGTAAAGCAGTGCAATAATTTCATGCATTATGCTGAACTAAAACTTGATATGGATAATGCATTGGGAATGTTGGAAATATCTCACATTTGGCCGCTTTAAAATGCAACTGAAATATGTGCTAACTTTGGAGTTTCTTCTGGTATGCTTATAAGGAAAAACATAAAAGTCTCCACACAACAAGAAAAAAAGGATAACCATTCTATTTTACAGAAATTATTAGAAATTGCTAAAGGCTGTGACGTAGATAAAAATGACGTCATCGAAATTCTTAGTCTTGCTAACGTAGTAGATGCAAAATAAGTTCAAAAAATATTCCACGTTTACAATGTATTTAAAAGATTCTCCGTCTCGAAATTGACAACTCAACAATTCAAAAAATTTTGTTGTGAACAACGAGCATATTACATCATGCCTGAACTGTAAAATGACGCTGCTTCAAAAATTAAAAAAAAAACTTCAAAATACGCGTTGTGTATCTTTCAAATATAGCATGTTGCTTCGCCTCTTTGTTTCTATTTATTGGAAGGGTTGGTGTGAGTGGGGTGATGGCCTAGTTCCAGCCTACTCAACTATTTTTAATAAAAATCAATATATACGCAAAACTCGGCGATGTGGCGCATTGCACTAAGCGTTAGAAACACGCTCGCCACCCCACCTTTGCCCACTCGCGTGGTTTCCCAGTTTACAATCGCATGCGGGGTTACGTATATGAGAGACGATTTCTGGACTCCTCGCTGACGTAGGGTGGTTTACGTAACTAACCCAAGCTTACAATGCCATCGCGAACAGGTGTCCGCGGGCCAACAATAACATGGAAAAAGTGTATGATCATTAAAAAAAAAACGATAACAAGGAAAAGCTTTTTGAGTTAAATGTGTATGTACATATTGTCGTTGTTGTGATATTTCACAAAGTTTGTAAATCATATAGGACTCTGCTCAGCCTTAAAATATTCATGCTCACCAAAACAAACAATTGCGCAGTGTGATATTTTCTTAGACTTAGAGGGAACATTGGCCAACAGTCTAGATCAGGAGTGGACAAGGTTTTCGGACCGGGGGCCAAAAACTTTGCCCATCTCGACTGGCGGGCCATTTTAGTAGGATTTAAAAGTTACATTTTATGAACAGTATTTACAGTGTTACGAAAGCAAAAGTGGAAAACAATAAGTCTCGTGCCAAAGCTAGATTGTATCGCAATCCCATTATATTCCTTGAGCTATTTTTTGCTAAAACAGCAATATTTAGTTTTAGTTTGGTTGTGACACCATCAGGCTGGCCAGATTGAATTACCCAACGGGCCGGATTTGGCCTGCGGGCCGTGGTTTGCCCATGTCTGGTCTAGATGTTCCCCAAATTACAGCTAAAAATCGGGTCAATCAAGAATAATTGCTCTGTACACAAATATTTACACACATAAAATGACTAGGATTTTGAGCAAGAATATTAGGATTGTATTAGTCAGTCATCGTCATTAGTCTTTTGTCGTCGTCGAAGCATTTCCAAAAATAGAGTATTTCCTGTGCTGACACTTAACGATGAATTGAACTTGGTGAACGCATGGTGTCAGTATTGATCAACAATTGAGGTGGTGCACGGAGTCAAGTAAGAAAATAAATATCGTATTCGAAGTATAGATATTCATGTTATGAACCAATTTTTTGGCAGTTAATTCCCCAAAACAACATCATAAATATATTTTAGTATGAAACGTACTGAATCTCTAAAATGAGAAAATATTGAAACGAATAAAACTTCGCCTGAATTTATAGTCACGTGATCGCAACTCCGTGTCGCAGTGACTGGTCTGTCTTCAGTCGCTGCTTTGTGTTTTTATTGTTGGGTACCGGTGTCCTGACAATTCGATATCCGAGATGTTGGCACCGATTTGTTGGAGATACAGTGTCACAGTACTGCACTATTCACAATAACCAGTTATAAAGTTGAAGTTCGCCCTTATTTTTTGTATCTCCTAACTCTGTTGCTCGGGTCCGGTACGATACGTCTGTACGGTACGGGTTAGGTTTTGCAGTTTTTACCGGTATAAGTTTGTTTCTACTCCATAATCGACGATAAAATAATTGACAAAAAAAATAACTTGGATAAAAACTGAATATAAAATCAGGGGAACAAATAAAACCTCAAGCTGTTAAGTAAGGTTTACAGGTTTTGGGCACCATGAAGTTTCGTACCTAAAGTACTTCTAATGCTGTACCGTACCTGTAGTGGCGTAGCATGACGATGTTTGTACGTGTCAATCCTAAACCCCCTCAGTGTGCTGGTTTGTCCTACTGTTTTGCAAGCTACATTAAGATGACAAGCCCTACATACTGACATAATCTGGGTCTGACGTCACAATTACGTCATAGAGCAACGGTGGGCAAGCCATGCGGCTCACCGGAGTTTTTATGCGGCTCTTCTCGCTTGCAATAATTATATATTATCCATATTTATCTAAGAGAAACTGTAGCGTAACAGTTTTTTCAATTCATTAAGCGGTTGAAGAATATATACTTTGAAAAATTGTTATTATACGTTTGTGTAAAGTTCTTTTCAGTTCACCAGAAAATTCACTTCACTTCTAATATTATTAATTTCGAAAATTATGCTGCTCTCACATATTTTTGACTTGCTGCATGCGGCTCTTATAATAGAAAATTTTGCCCACCCCTGTCATAGAGCTTGCCAAAGTATACATACGATCGCCCAAAATGGCATCTGTACTGGAATATATATGCAAGCGCACTGTGTAATACATTTTCTGAAGAGATCGGACCTCAGTAAATTTAAAGTTTAGTATGTAGGGTATCTGGTTGTAGTCTAACGCGTCGCGGAGTCACATGACCTGGGCCTATAAGTATAATTACTATTATTAAAAATAGTTGAGTAGCCTGTGCATTAAGTCATCGCTCTCAATTTCACCAACCCTTCCAATAAATAGAAACTAGATAGCGATCAGAGACCGCCGACTTCTCGATCTTCCGCATGTTCAATATTTTACTCGACAATTTTGACGAAGTATCGCAGACAAGGCATTGTTACGCACGCAATCGCTCGCTGCGACGAACGAAAGTTAGGGAATCCCCAAAAAAGAAACTGCGGTTTTAATTCCTTCGCTCTGACTCAACAGCGACACCGCGTGTCCCATCACTAAATAAAAAATACCTTGCTAATTATACGACATAATTCATCTAAAATAGGCTATAGGCTTCAGGTCCGAGATATGGTGAATGCACATAATTTGGAGAAGATACAACCTCGCTTTCGTGAGATATCGCGTATCATACGAAAGTGTCAAACAGACAAATAATACCTATCAACATACTTACCGATCGAGATCAATAAGTAACAAAGAAGCGAAGAATCGTGCTATATTTGAAAGATACACAACGCATATTATTTCGCCTCACGTAAGAAAATATACTATTTTGCTTCATCTGTATTGACTAAGCATTAAAAAGTTTGGGTTTCACACTATTTTCACTATTCCAACAAAAGTTAGTTGATGGCTTACATCACTATTCTCCAAATTTTTATATTCATAAGTAAAGGCTTATACAAAAAAAAAAGATCCAAAGCTTGAGAGACGTTTTCAAGGCGTCGAACCTACCATTCATTATGAATGTCACTCTCATTCTTGCAGGATTGATTGGTATAGCAGCAATCATGTGTGTTATCGGATATGAAATCGTTGAGGTAGAAATTATGCAGTGTAACGGCGTATGTACACTTAACGACACGGAAATAATTTGCAAAAATGCTGTATGTCAGAAAAGTTATTCTACACTCGCTCTAATCTCTTTAAACCTGAATAATAGCGTGTTCGCTTTATACATTTACTTTACAACATCAATCTACATGAAATTGTGGTTTCGTCAAACGATGTTCATCAGGGAAAAAACTTTAAAGAAACTGTCGCCCAAATGTTTAAAAAAGTTTCGTAATTTCAGGGATTGTTTATAATATTATCTGCTATTGTCGTCGGAATAATTTGGATACTATTAAACTTGCTATATTCCGACTACATTTTAAAATTGTTCTTGGGGATTCAACTTGAAATACAGATTAGATTGCTGACTTTTTTTCTGATTCCCTTAATTAAAAACCAACGTAACTTGAAGTATTTGCA